CTATTCACAGAAAAGAGAGAGGAGGGAGATAAGAAGAAGAAGGAAGAAAAAAAAAAAAATTAAAAAAAATCTGTAGTCTAATATGAGGTCTCTACCTCCCTACAGCCCTCTCCTTCTCTTTCCTGTGTTAAAAAACACAGGAACAAAAAGCAAACAAGAAAAGTTCAAGGCCTGCTCTTGGTCTGAGTATCTGTTGCCATTTGATTTTAAGTGGATACTGTCTCTTTAAATTTTGAGGAGATCTATGCACATGCGTATTAGAACCCTCCGAGGGTGGGGCTGGAGTATCCACTAGCTCAGGCACCCCTATAGTTCTCATAATGAAGGTACGCAGACAGCAAGGTACCAACGAAAAGATACCAAAAAAAAAGAAAAAAAAAGAATGTCCACACCTGTATCTCTGCGACTCTGTCAGGCCTCCGTGGCTGCTCTGACCCTTTCCCCGCTTGGCCCCACACAAAATGGCGGCTCCTGGAGCAGCTGAGCGTCCCGAACCAGGAAGCAATGGATTTCTTGCTTCTGCCATAAACTCCCCACTGTAAGTCTTCCAACCTTCTAAATAATCCTTTATATGTGTTTCAGAGTACTGGGACCATTCCCTGAGCCTTCTTGGTCCTGTATTCTATAATGTTCCTGGCAAAGCTCGTCACTACACGTCCACTGGATCCGCCATCTTTTTCCGGAAGTCTTCCCTTGTATACTCTTAAACTAAATTCCCTCTTGAAAACTCCGTGCCTTTATCATCCCTTCATTTTAGGTAGCCAATGTCTAAGTTACCCATCCCTATATACCCTGTGTACAGAGGCGATAGATAGCATTGATACTTGATGTGAAGACTGCTTTCTTCTCTGTCAGTATTTTGAGCTACTACCTCCATGAGTGTAGGTCAAGTTCATCAAATTGTAGCAATTTACCCTCATTTCCTTTATCAAAAATTGTGTGGGTTTTGTTTTTATCTTTCTCTAGATGAGTTCTGTTTATCAAGTCATCGAGGCTAGGTCATATGGGTACTGTTTGCAAGTTTGGTTGTTCTTATGCGTCTTCCCTCACTTCATATCAGCTGGATGCTTCACTCTCAGCTGTAGCCTTCCGTGGCTATGTCCTTGGCCATGGGGTCAGGTGTCCCCAGGTCTCACCATACATTGGACCAACCAGCCCTTCCTCTTCTCTCTCTCATCTCTAGGACAACAGGAGTCTATGGAACATGGTCAAACTTAGCCGATTTCTTCATTGCTACCTTTCCCCCTCTTCCACTCAGCAGTAGACCAGTTTGGTCACCAGCAAGCTTACATGCCTTGCTCATGTGTTCCCTTTGAGTTTCAGACTTAGTTGGGGGTTAACTGACTTTTTAAAAAATATTTTATAAAGTGTTATAAGCTTTGTTTCCAGTTTAATTGCAAACTTGATGTCAAATTTTGGTTTATCAATATGATTTTTTATGTTTAATAATAATTAAAAAATATTTCTTAGAGACTTAATTTAGTAACATTTTACAGTTGAATTACTGAGGGATTTGCTTTGTTGTTTAACTAAATAAAATTTTAATCTAAACTAGATAAGTAATTTTTTATTTATTTTTCCCTAGTGAATTAGTACCATCTTATGATTCAGCAACTTTTGTTCTAGAGAATTTCAGGTAAGAGTTTTTGACTGCCGTTTTCTGCATATATACATAAGGAAAACTCCTAGTTAATATTGAGGTCCAGTGAATAATACCATTGAGTTTAGTATTTTTAGAAGAAACTACTAATTTCCTATTAGAAGCACCGAGGTCATTTGTCAGAATTATATTTTATCTTTAGTACTGATTACCTTTGCAGTTAGGCCAAAAGAACCATTTTAAAGAAGAAAGTCCGCCGGGGCTGATGAAAGGAGATGGGGATAAGAATCTTGTTCAATAGTGAATGATTGCTGCAGGTCTGATTGAGTTTGAAAATGTAGAGGTAGATGTTTTGTAACAAAAGGAGGGGCGTGGTTGATCTTGCAGTCCAGGGACAGAGGTCCCTGGGACTGTCAAGGGAGAGGATCGGGGTGCATTCCTACCCAAAGAAGCAGTGATGCCAGAGATGGAGGCAAAGATAATGATGAGGAGATATGGAGTGGCTAGGGACTCTGGACTCTGGCAGGGAGAGTGTCTATGTGTTGATGGCGTGGGGGCAGGCTTGCCAGGTGTACCCTTAGGTTGTTTGATGATACATAAGGGGAATTGTAATCATTGCTATGAAGCAAAGTAGGATAGGATGAATATGGGTTCCCCCATGTAGATTATCACATAATTCACAATAAAAAGGAAAAAAAGAAGAAAGTCTGCTTGGCCATTGCTAAGATGGCGGAAAGGGGAGTAGGATAATAGAAGCTCTGTGAGACTCAGAAATAAAAGTTTGAGTAGCTTATTGGTATCCTTTTATCTCAATTCAAATGGAATTACAGATAAGAGTCTGTTATTGTAAGGTATTTATACGTTTTGTAGCTTACAAATTTTACTAGCCTTCTCTGCTTTTTCTTTAAGATTAGTAGCAAAAACTCTAAAGTCACAAAAGTTCTATGGGACTTGTCTTCCAGAATAGCATGTAAGTAACAACTAAGATTACAAGGTACTGGCTTGGAGAGCAAAACTACAAGTAGGTGATAACAAACAACAAAATAAGGCCCAATTGCAAGAAATTTATAGCATTCCCCATTTAATTTGCTTTTTCTTACAGATAATTTTTTAGTTAAAATATTGTTTCTATGGAGAGATTACATTATTAAATTTTATTACATGTTCTTGTTTATCCATGTTATAGAAGGATAGTTATGCTAGAAGGATCTGAGGAAGTAACACATTCTGGGTTTTCGTTGATTGTTTTTAGTGGTGAAAGACTGTTTGTTGAAGTAGTTATTAAATTCAGAATGCTTATTGTTAACTCTGCCCTTAAATGTCCCAATTTTGAAGTGTTTGTTCCCTCATCCCCACCAAAACATGATCCTTTTTCTGAGTAAGGATCATTAAATTTTTTATTTTAGAGTCTAAGTATATCCAAACTTAAGCAGTGGAATCAAGAATTGTTCAGTCACCTTCAGTTACGTGTTAAGAACAATATGTAACAAAACACAGGGGCACTCCAAAAAGTTTGTGGAAAAGTTTTATTATCTTTTATTTCCATTTTTCCATAAACTTTTTTATAGCTCTGACATGTATCAAGGGCAATATGAGTGTATAACAGTAAAGTGCTTGGTATTTGTTTTTCCTGTTTCCATTTTGCAACAGTTTTCATCTTTGGATATGGTTGATTTTCTTTCTCTCTAGCACTTTGCGCCAGAGAGCAGATCCTGTGTATAGTCCACCTCTTCAAGTTTCAGGACTTTGCTGGAGATTAAAAGTTTACCCAGTAAGTTTCTCATGTGTCTGGTAAATTTGGGGACCAGGTTATTTCCTTCTGAATTCTGTAGCACACTAATTTACTTTTTATTGGCATTATGATGATTTTGTATTTCTTCATGGGCTATATTACTATATCATAAACTAAATATGAATTGTCTGAACTATGATCTTTTGTTTATGGGTTCTAGAATGATATTTGCCATTAGAAGAAATGTTTAAAATTTTTATTTACTTACTTTAATTAAAACAAAACCCATCCAAACAGTTGTATGGTGATTGTATATCCATGGTATGTTTCCATATGTTGTTGTCATGTGTGTTAATCTCAAGTTGTTGTCTGCTGTTGTTGATTCGTAGTCCAAAGAATACTTAGCATTTTTTATAAAGTTGGTCTGGTTATTACAAACTCCTTTAATTTCTGTTTACCTGGAGATGTCTATATTTCACCATCATATTTGAGAGATAGCTTTGCTGGGTATATGATTCTTAGTTGGCAATTTTTTTCTTTCAGAGTTTTGTATATGTCATCCCATTGCCTTCTTGCTGCATGGTTTCTGCTGAGAAATCAGAATTTAGTCTTAATTGTTCTTTGTAAGTAACTTTGTTTTTCCCTGAGTTGCTCTTAGGATTCTTTTCTTGTCTTTGGTTTTGGAAATTTGATTTTGATGTCTTGGTGATTCTCTTTTGGGATCTATCCTGTTTGGGTTTTTTTCAGCTTCTTGTATGGTTTTCATCTCAACTTTCATGATTTTAGGGGCATTTCCTCCCAACCACTCTTTGACAGTTTTTTCAGTGCTTTTTATTGTCATCCTTTATGGGAATTCTGATCACCTGCAAATTAGTCCTCTTCGTGGTGTCCCACCTGAATCTTAAGACTTCTTTCAGATTTTTTCATTCTTTCTTCTGATTTTTTTCTAGCATACTAGTATTGAGAAGATGTATCTTTAAGCTCACTAATTTGGCCTTCCATTGCTTCGCATCTATTCCTTTGCCCTTTCAATGTGTTGTCCGTTTCTGAAATCTTAGTATATACCTTTTGGATTTCTGATTTCAGGTTTGTATTGTTTCAAATATTTCCTTCATTTTGTTTGTTTGTTCTTGTAGTGTTTTCTCAAATTCTTCTAAAGATTTTTCTGTGTTTTCCTTCATCTTTTTGTCGATTCTGTGAAGATACCTAAATATGATTCTTTTTTTTCTCAGAAACATTTTCTGGCTCTGCATCTTGATCATTTTTTTGAGCCATTCTCTTGTTTCTTTGTATGAGCTAAAAATGTGTGTTGTCCCTGCGATGTTGTAGTATTATCATATTTGTATTAACTTGATTATATGTTGGTGTGTTCTTAGGCTGTCACCATATGTCTCCTGCGGATGTAATTAGAGAATGGAAGCCTGTGAACTGTTCTCCATTTGCTGTTGATGCACCTCAGTTTTGGGTGTTGGCTGGTGTTGGCTGCTGTCTATTGTTGATCAGTTGATATAGGAACTGGTATTGGCTCTTGCCTAGTTGGTGAAGCTTCAGAGGGTACTGTTGTGGCTGGACTATATATGTGTATAGTTGTTAACTCTCTTGTATGGGAAAGAGGAGGAATGCCTCACTTCCCTCCTTCCATGAGAAAATAAAACAGAATAAACATATAAGCAGCCAGTAATGAAAAGAGAAAACAATAAAGGAGCAAAAATAAATAAAAACAGTAGCCAGAAAAAGTGTAGTAACTTAAAATAGAAAAGAGTGACAGGGAAATGGAGCTATCAAAAAGAAAAATATGGGAGAACACAAAAAGAAGACATTTTTAAAACTCAGGAAAACCAGGGAGAGGAAAGGTGCAGAGAGAAATAAAGAGTAGTAAAGAAAGATCAAAAGGAAAAAGAGGGGAAATGAGAAACAAGAAATGGAGGAAAAACAAAAGCACAAATAGGATATAAAAATCAAGGTTATGGAAAGAAAAAGAGAAGAAAGAATAAATAAGCAAAAACAATAAACCAATGAAAGGAAAAAACAAAATAAATCAGTGTAGCTGTTTTACCCAAAGAGAAGAAAACTTTCAGACGGGGAGCTCACAAGGTAGGTGACAGAGGGGTATTTCAGTGGAGTTTCTGATCCTGGATGGAGTTCTTCGTGTTATCTATGTTCAGGGCACTCAGTCTGGAAGTAGTTCATAGAAGCCCTTCTTGGATCTGGTTTCAGTGTCAGAACTACAGGGTAGTAGCTGAGGGCAGGTTATGAGGGTCTCTGCTGGACTAATGTTAGTCTGAAGTCCTGCTGTCATGATATAGGGTAAGCAGTGGACTGCAAGTTTGGTTTGAATCAAAAGTTTGGCAATTACCAACTGCTCCTTGGAAACCTTATACAGGGTCGCTATGAGTTGGAACCAGTGCACTTAACAACAGCAACAGTGCTGGTCTGTAGCTCTGCGGGTACTGTAGGTCTGGAGACAAGCCCACTTGAACCCAGGCACCAAAGTGGTGTTTACTCCCAGCCACTTGGCTAAGAATTCCCTGAAAGCAAGGTCTCCACAGGCGGTGGATGAGGGTGGGAGCTGGTGACACCTTTGGTCACTAGGGTACCATGGGGAAAGAGAAGGAATCACACCTTTTCTGTCACCTGTGGGAATCTGCTTTGCCAGGCCACCTCTGTTGCCAAAGTTGTTCACAAAAGTTCAAGATGGTTGCCATGCATCTGGCCAACCATTCTTGTCAGTCTCCCATTATCACCATCCCTGCTCAGCTTCTCCCATACTAAGCTTTCAGTCCACTTCTCTAATCCTTTCTCTAAAGTTCAGGGTTCCAGGATTTTCATGTGTGTCTGTTTCATTTTGCCTAGGTTGCTTCTTGTTGGAAGTCCTCCTACCTATTATTTTTGATATTATCTTTTTAAAACTCATTTAGTCTTAGTTCTTTGTTGTTGTTGTGAAGTGCCATCGAGTCAGTTCTGACCCATAGCGACCCTGTATAGGGTTTCCAAGGAGCAGCTGGTGAGCTTGAACCGCCAACCTTGCAGTTCAAACGGCTTTGCAGTCTGGTGCATTAACCCATGGTGCCACACCAGGACTGTCTTGGTTCTTTAGTATATACTTAATGTTTGTTACAGTGCTTATGTCTGTTTTTCTTGATAGTTTGCTCTCTCAGATATTACTGGAAGGGCTATGGAAACAGCATTCCTTGGATTCTTGCATGTTGAAAACAGTTGTGCATTATAAACTTATTAACCAGTTTTATGGGATAGAAGATCTTGGAGTTATGTTTTCTTTCATTCAATATCTTTTTAATTGGTTGGTTGGTTGGTTATGTGCCTTGGAGTCGGTTCCAACTTATAGCGATCCTGTACAGGGTTTCCGAGGCTGTAAATCTTTATGGGAGCAGAAAGCCTCATCTTTCTGCCGCGGAGCAGCTGGTAGTTTCGAACTGCTGACCTTGCGGTTCGCAGCCCGATATGTAACCATTTCGCTAATACTCATTTAATTTAGTCTTAGTTCTTTATTTAATAGTATATACTTGATATTTGCTACCAGTGCTTATGTTTGTGTTTCTTGATCATTTTTTTTGATCATCATTTTTCATAGAATCTTAGTCATACTTTTTTAATTCAAAATTTTTGAGGGATGGTTTGCATATATGTGTAATATTGTTTTGATGTTCTGTGTGTAGTTGGAAGGAGCTCTGGTAGCATAGTGGTTACAAGTCGGGCTGCTAACTTCAAGGTCAGCAGTTCGAAACTACCAGCTGTTCCATGGGAGAAAGATGAGGCTTTTTGCTCCCATAAAAATTTATAGTCTTGGAAACCCTATTCAGGGTCACGGTGAGTCAGAACCGACTCCACAGCACACCACCACCACGTGTAATTGGAGTCCTGCTGTGTCATGCTACATGTTAATGCGCTGGACTGCCAGGTCGGTTTGAACTGCAAGATCGGCAGTTCAAGTTTACTAGCCACTCCTCAGAAACCCTATACAGGGTGATTCGGGTTGGAGCTGACTCAAAAACACTTAAAAACAAGAACATGTGTAATTTGTTTTCTCATATGGTTAGAATGTGTGGTTCAGAGCATCATTTAAAGAATATGAGACAGTTCCCTTTTTACATGGCCATCAAAAACATGATGGCTTACTTTCTGAGAGATTTCCTATCACTGGTTTCTTCTCTTTCACTTTTATTTGGTCTTTCTCTTTCCTTTGAGTCTATTGTTTCTTCATATTTTATTTGACTCCTAGCAGTTTCTTTGATGCATGGGTGCATATCCTAGGAAAGTCCTGGCAATTCATTTTCAAAGATTCATAATGCCTAAACTGTGTTTACTTCTTTTAGGCTTTTTTTTATTAGGCCCTTAAAAGAGCTCTGGTAGCATAGTGGTTACGAATCATGCTGCGAACCTCAAGGTCAGCAGTTTGAAACTACGTGCTGTTCTGCGGGAAAAAGATGAGGCTTTCTGCTCCCATAAGATTTACAGCCTCGGAAACCCTGTACAGGGTTGCTATGAGTCACAACGACTCTACGGCATGTAACAACAACAATTAGGCCCTTGTAACCTTTTTTGAAACTATTTTCAAGTAATGGTTGCAGCGGGACTATGAAAGGTAATGTCAGAAATTCAAGTTGGATTCAGAAGAAGACATCAGACCATTGCTAATGTCATGTGGCTCGTGGCTGAAAGCAGAGGATACCAGAAAGATGTTTATCTGTGTTTTATTGATTATGCAAAGACATCTGAATGTGGGAATAATAACAAATTATCGTTAACATTGCAAAAAATGGGTATTTCAGAACACTTAATTGTGCTCATGTGGAACCTGTACTTAGACCTTGTTCAAACAGAATAAGGGGATACTGTGTGGTTTAAAATCAGGAAAGGTGTGTGTCATGGTTGTATCCTTTACCGCACTTGCTCAATCTGCATTTTGAACCAATAATCTGAGAAACTGGACTGTATGGAGAAGAATGTGGCATCAGGATTGGAAGAAGACTTATTAATCTGTGATATGCAGATGACACAACCTTCCTTGCTGAAAGGAA